CTAAATTTAAGAGAACAGAAAATTCAAAACTAAAATATTTAGAACTAACCATCCGATAGCATATCTCCAATAGCGTCAGGAAGGGTTTGTGCAGGTTCAGCAACCATCAACCCTTCAATCTCTGCAGGAGTAAGCTCTCCAAACCCACTGGGAATCAAGAACGGCTGAGGTGGAATATTAACTTCATCTCCCTCCATGTCGAACTGAGTGATCTCTTCAGAGACGTTCTGAAGCAGTTCTTTAGGAAACACTCCAGAATCCAAAGAAAAGTTTGCCTCTTTTAGGGCCTTTGCCAGTTTTCCTTGTATCAGCTGCAGTTTTTCAGTGATGACCTTGTTGTCRGTTTGAACAGCAGTTGATGTAACACGAGTATTAGTAGTAGTAATACTCGGTACTGTTTGGTTGAGGGACGCAAAAGCTGACGGCATGCCTGACGATAACGGTGGTACAACAGTATCTTGAAACATCAGTGCATCTTGCAGGCTGCAGAGWGGAGAAGTTGGAGGAGCCATCGGGAGTTGGCTGAGAGCYATAGCTTCAGGACCAAAYGCRCTGAGATCAGACAAGTCAGGGTGCTCAAGTAGAGGGGGCTGGCTAGCATGTACAGGGGGGACACGTGGTGGYGGTATAGAGGGAGCACACATGGAGCTAGGCATGGAAGTAAGCTTCATATCTGGGGGAGTTCCTGGTGTGGGGTTTTCAAGAAGGTAGCAGATAACTGCGGCATGGCCACCCTTGGCTGCYTCTATCAGTATATTAGAGCCATCCTATTAAGAGAAAACAAAATCTCATATCAGCAAAAATAGTAACAAAAACGAAACATGGACTACCTGTGGTAGGTAATTCCTACCACAGGCAACCCACACAATGCTTGACTCACCTTTAGTTTATGATAAGGGTCAGCTCCATGAGCAAGTAAGAGTTCTACMACAGCTAGGTGGCCACCAGCGCAGGCCAGGGATAGCACAGAATGATCATTATTGGCAGTACGCCTGTCTACGTCGGCACCTGACAGACAGAATGAGTTATTGGTCAGTTGAGGTTTATATGCAGATGGTTGATGGCATTTTGCAATAGCGATATAGATCATTTCAACTTTGGGCATGCTTTCCCATTTCAGACCACGTCATTCCCTAGAGCATCATTTCTTTGTTTACTGACTGCATATGAGAAGACACACGAATATGGATACAACTCAAACAAAGAATCTTATTCTCAAGAGAATGTCATGTGGTCTGAAAAGGGAAAACATTACGCCCAAGGTAAAGAGGTCTATTACTCTGTCTTCTGATTTACAACTGTTAAACAAAGAAATGATACTCTAGAGAATAACACATGGTCTAAATGGGAAAACATCACGCCCAAGGTAAAGAGGTCTATTACTCTGTCTTCTGATTTACAACTGTTAAACAAAGAAATGATACTCTAGCTAATGACACATGGTCTGAAATGGGAAAACATTAAGACCAAGGTAAAAGGGTCTATCATTGGTGCCTTAAGTCAGAATTTTAAAAAACTTACCTCTGCTGATCARGAACTGGACAGTACACAAATGTCCTGCTCGCGCAGCTTTCATCAAGGGAGTTCTGCCTCCTTCTGATTGATGTTCCTATTTTTGAAAAAGAAAAAAGAGCTGAGCGAATGAGGCATACTTATAATTATCAGAGGACAGAGGTATGTTTTCACTAAATTGGACAACTGTGAACATCTCATACCAACAGTATTCCTTAATTTAGGAGACAAAGCTTCTCCAGTTGGAGTCACACAACTACAAACAGAGCACACATAATGACTTTCACTCATGAAGCTTAGAATGGTCTGAGTTTGTAAGTTTTGGATTGACAGAAAGAAAGGAAAAAAGTACAAAGAAACGAAGCATACCAGATCAGCACCAGCTTATAATAACTATATTTAATATTATTTTATTTCATTATCAGAGGACAGAGATATGCTCCCGCAAAATTGTTTAACTCACATAATGACTTTCACTCATCAATTTTACAATGGTCTAAGTTAGTTAGTTTTTGATTGACAGAAAGAAAGGAAGGAAGTACAAAGAAACAAAGCATACCAGATCAGCACCAGCTTGCAGCAGGACATCAGCAACATCAGTGTGTCCGTTTTCACAGGCAAATGATAGTGCAGTATCACCTGTTGCAGTAGTGGCGTTGACATTGGCANGCAGTATCACCTGTTGCAGTAGTGGCGTTGACATTGGCACCTACAGCGAGAAAGAATACAGATTATAAATACATGGGACTTACTGTAGTATCTATACCTAAAGACTGCAATAGTCCCCTTCACMGTTCCCTGYRCCATCTTGAAAGGTAGCCGTKCCTTTGCATCGAAGCGAGACGAACGGTGAGATTGCAATGATAGAGACCTTTTTTTAACACCTTGGACAATTATTCACAGGTCTCTATCATTGCAAACTCACTTTTCGTCTCGCTTCAATACAAAGACAYGGCTACCTTTCAAGATGGCGCAGGGAACTGTGAAGGGGACTACTGATGMTCAYTCAAACCCTTTAGGTTAAACAAAAAAATAAGTGTTTCCTGTTGYATGAGAAAAATAATTGGGGTTGGTAGGTCGAATTTTTTCCCYGATACAACAKTGGAAATGAGCTTACTGGGAACCCTGTGGTGCATTTGGGAATGAAAAAAATATTAGGGTCGGCAAAAATCGGCAACAAAATTAGGGTCGGTCGCACAACAGGAAACACACTTGTTTGGACTTATTGCTCCTTTCTACTCCCCCTCCCCCCATTTCCCTCCCCCCCCCATTACTTTCCGTCTCACCTTGCTCCAGGAGGAACTTCACCAGATCTACATGCCCCTCTTGGGCAGCTTCCATCAGTGGAGTAGATGAACCTTGCTCAATGTCAGCACCTATATCAATAGATATTATTAGGTCATAATAATACTAATACACTTCTGAGAATATGTGGACCGAGTAGCACTTATGAAATACAAGATATAGAAATATAGATAAGTCATAATACTAATACACTTCTGTTTATTTAACAAGTTCATTCCAGCTCATCTGAGAAAGAATGTTAGTAAATCAGAATCGAGAAAATTTGCAAAACTAAGGTGTCACTTTTCCTCTTGATATCACAGATTTCCAGGACACCAAATGAGAAACATTTCAATTAGTTCTCTTGACTAACTGATCTAAGTGGCCCTGGTTACAGTAGTTGCACTGTAACATCTCTTTGAGATCTCTTTTATACATGCAAGAGAATCTTACTGATGTTTTGAAAATAGCTTTCCCAATATGCAAGCTATGATGTAGAACAGAAATTGCTACCTAAACCTGAAACATGACTTAAACAAAAGCGAGATTATCCTTCACCTTCTTGAAGTAAAAAAGCAGCTACATCCTGGAAACCACCACAACAAGCCAGACTAAGGGCAGTCTCCTGTGTCTCTTCTGTCTGGGCATGAATGTCAGCACCTGTAATAAGGTCCAATGCATGAATTAGAACTGTTGATTCTTACGGAATGTTTGTACCCAAGCTAGACCAGAATGCACCTTGCCTGACTAAGGCACTGTGCTAAATAAACATCCTCTTACACCTATTTTCATAACTATGTGACCAACAAAACCTAAGGTGTTTAAGTTTTTGGCTGCCATCAATCAAAAAATACTAACTTTAACTGTCTTGGTCACATAACTAAGAAACAGGTAAAWTTAATATATTTTAGTTATTTTAATTACGACGTACCATGCTCAAGAAGAAGTGCTACCATCTCTAAATGACCTTCACGAGCAGCTTCCATCAAAGGGGTATAGCTAAACAGAAAAAACAGACACAAATCCATGTTAACATACAAGATAATAATATACACCTAATCGAAAAATTGTTGTCGGGTTCAAAAAAAGGTTATATCATCAAACCTAAGATCGAAGGGGAGCACAGGAAGACAAACAATCATGCTAATTTCAGGCGTATTGCAGTTTTCCCTTCATGTGCACATTTTATGCATCATGGCTTTGGCATGTTGTTAATCTAGGTCGACCAACTTTGCTCTACTGTGCATTTTTACATGTCTATATGCAAAATATAATACACATTTCTGAGTACCCAAAATCCTTTTCAGTCTTAGCTTCGATGATATGACCTTCTTGAACCCGACTACGCTTTTTCGATATACCTATCCCGAATTCGCTTGACTGGTCACAAAACAATGGTTTCAAGTTGAGGTTGAACTTGAAGTTCAGTATCGACTTAAAACCATTGTTTCGTGGTCAGTCAAGCAAATTCGTCAAAGKTCTATTAGGTGTATGGCTGTCATTCTAAGCCCTGTTCATTAGGTTTGGCTCTTACCCTTCATCATTGACTTCCTCCAGATATGCGCCTCTTTCTATCAGCAGCGCAGCTAACTCTACATGACCACCACATGCAGCAAGTGTTAATGGTGATTCAAAACTATCGGCTGGCATGTTAACCTATGACATGATATAAGACACACCATTAAAACTCAAGTTGGACTCACACCGATGACGATAGTTTAATTTCRAATCAGTGTATACATATCACTGAGGAACATTTCATTTCAAGATTTTAAAATTAGAGCGTTTTCACTCACATGACACGGCAGCCATGTTGGTGCAACAAACAATAGAAACTTTCTGTACAGTTTTTGTGTAAAAACAGAGTTCAGTTCCCCAAAGGAAGAAAATGTATTGTTTTGGTACGCCAACATGGCTGTTGTGACTCAACTCACTACCATTGCATAGTAAATTTTACTATTTTATGCAAACAATGTTGATTTTTACCAAGGGAGGAAAACTAGAGAACCCAGAGAAAAACCTTAAGAGGCAAGGGAGAGAACAATACATGTACATCAAACAAACTCAATAAGCCTGAAGCGAGATGACGTTTTACCCCCGTCTCAAGACCATAATCCTTTTCACACCTGCTATTGTTCTTTAATTATGACTATTGTTCCTCTGTCCTCTAAGGAATCAAAAATTTTAATATGAAAGAATTTTAAAAACAATTATGGTATAGAGTCGGGGGTAAAACGTCATCTCGCTTCAGGCTTATTCACATGTGACATCTTGTTTGTACATAATTACGTACACATCTTGACAATATTGTTTGTGCATGATTATGTAATTCAGCCCATGGGCAGCGACGTAATTTTCAATAAACATCTATCTGCAGGGCCTGAACCAGCTACCCAACCTGTTGGATTCACGGCGGTAAGATGGCAATTTAAGCAGCATACGGCACCAAACTCTCCTAGCTCTAGATGAGACCAGAACCTTCCATACCACCCTGAATTCCCAATAAACAGTGGTTTAAAAGTCTAGGATCTACGATCCCATATYGCCTCTACAGCCTAAGAAAGTTAATATTATTCTTGAGCACTGTTAATATTGTTCTTGAGCACTGATTACCTGAGCACCATGATCTAGAAG